TCATCTATCTATCTATCTAATATAATCTATCATCTATCTAATATAATCTATCTATCTATCTATCAATATAATATAATATAATATAATATAATATAATATAATATAATATAATATAATATAATATAATAATATAATATAATATAATATAATATAATATAATATAATATAATATAATATAATATAATATAATATAATATAATATAATATAATCTATCATCTATCTAATCTATCATCTATATAATGTAAAAGGGGAGGACAAATTATTGTTTTTTTCTTTTTTTCAGCAACAAGCTGGGTAGATTCTATATGTTAAATATTAAAATTTATTTAGTATTTAGATGACTTTCTCCTCTTTCTTGGTAGACCAATTTCATTGTTATTGTTTGTTAGTGCTAGATATATATGTTTTTGTTTTATTTTGCTTTGTTTGCTTTTCTGGTTTGTATTTTACCTTTGATGATAAAAAAAGAAAGATACCTAAAAACAAAAAAGAACGATTTCCAATGTACCATTAGGGAGGAATAAAGAAACTCTTTCTGTGCTGGCTCTGATAGCAGCTACTATCCAAGCTTTCAACAGTGGCCATTGCCAGCTAAATAAAGGGGAATATTTGTAGCTCTGGGGTGTAAGGAAGGGTCCTTGGTGCTCTCTGAGCTGGGTTGTTTTCCTGCTGGTGTTTCATTACTCAAACTAGGTAACATCATCAGTGCTAGTTATCTAATCGAGACTAAGAACCTCTTAATTGCACTAAGAACCTCTCATTTCCAAGATCAGCTTGGAACCGAAGTGGAGTAAAAATATAATTTTACCTGGAAAGCAACTGGCTGAGCTTTCACTCCTGAATTTGGTGAACAAAGCTTTAAGGCACTTGCTGGGGGTGGATGTACAGGTAGTCCTTGGCTTACGACCATAATTGAGCCCAACATTTCTGTTGCTAAGCGAAACATTTGTTAAGTGAATCTTCCCCCTTTTACAACCTTTCTTGCCCCAGTCGCTAAGTGAATCACTGCACTTGTTAAATGCAAGAGCCGTGGTGGCGCAGTGGTTAGAGTGCAGTACTAAAGGCTACTTCTGCTGACTGCCGGCTGCCTGTAATTTGGCAGTTCGAATCTCACCAGGCTCAAGGTTGACTCAGCCTTCCATCCTTCCGAGGTGGGTAAAATGAGGAGCCAGATTGTTGGAGCCAATAGGCTGACTCTGTAAACCGCTTAGAGAGGGCTGTAAAGCACTGTGAAGCAGTATTTATTGAATTTATTGAGCCGCCCATGGCAACTTGAGGCAACTTACAGAATGTAAAACCGTATTTAAAATTAAAAAAAATAAAAACTAACAAAAGGAATCAAATAAATTCATAATCTACAATAGAACAAAATCTGGAAAAAAAATTAAATAAAAAAATCACCCACCAACTCCCACTCCCTGCCCCGACGACAGCAGATCACATGATCTATATTATATTTGTGTGTGTGTGTGTGTGTGTGTGTGTGTGTGTGTGTAAAGAGAGACAGACATCCCGCTCTCTGGAACTAAAAATTTATATTGTTCACTAAGCTTTCATTAGCCTCTGCTAACATCATCAGAGTTAGCACACAACCATTAAGCCTTTCTATAACATTAACCAATGGCCATTGTGCGCATGATTTTCACAGCAAGAAGGGCTTCCCATCACACATCACAAGCAAAGCAACAAATGAATCTAGTAGACAAACCAAAGGGCCCTTTGTCCATTGGAAAGAGGGAGGGAACTAGAGAGAATGCTGTCAAAGTCATGCGCACAATGGCCATTGGTTAATGTTATATGAAGGCACATATCTCCTTAATGGTTTGTTTTACACTCTGACGATGTTAGCACAGGCTAATGGAAACTTAGTGAACAATATAAATTTTTAGTTCCAGAGATCGGGATGTGTATACATACATACATACATACATACATACCCTGTTTATCCAACAATACGGCCTCCCCCAATAGGAAGTCCCAGCATGTTTTATAGGCATGAAATGAAATTAAGCCCCTCCCCCCAAATTAAGGCCTATATTAAAACATGCGAAATGGGGAGGGAATGGTGGGGGGGCTTGCCGTTAGGAAGTACTTTTGTTGCACACCCGGATATGGTGCTGCCTGCGTTGACCCCGATACGAAGTGCCCCACCAACGCCGAGGTCAACATCCAAGCCATCGCCGCCCGCCCGCCCGAAGATGCAAGGGGGGGGAATTAAGTCACCCCCCGAAAAGACGGCCTAGCCATTTTTTCGGGGCTCAAAAAAAATAAGACCCGGCCTTATTATATGAGAAACACAGTATATGCATACACACACACACACACACACACACACATATGTACTCCGATCTCTGGAACTAAAACTTATATTGTCCACTGTTGTGTATGTAT